TACTTTGTGCATTAATGACTTACATCTGGCAGTAAGAAATGCTGAAGGGAAAGCAAGAGCAACACTAGCTGTGATGGTTAATTTTAAGTTTATGTGTCAACTTGATTGGGCCTGATTCTCAGTGGTTTGCTAGTTATGTAATGATGTAATTTGGCAAGTATGTAATGATGTAATTTGGCAGTTATGTAATGATGTGGTCATCCTCCATTTTGTGATATGATGTGATCATTCTCCATTTTTGCAAAACATCAATTTCACATTAACAACCTGGTCTTTAGAACCTAACCAAGGTAGGAGTGGTTGTAATTGCACAAAAGCTCCTTTCCCTCTCTATGGAAGAACACAACCTGGATTTCCATTCCACCTCAGGCTGCACCCTCTACTCCAGGCACAAATTGCACAAATGTACACAGCAAGTTCCAGCAGAATTTCCAGACTAGGGTGGACTAGAAAGAAAGGTCTGGCTATCTACTCAAGAAAATCAGCCAATAAAAACACTATGAATCACAATGATCTATGTGCAACCAATCATAGGGATGGCACAGGACTTAAACACTGTTCCATTGCGTTGTATATGGGTCACCATGGGTCAGGGTCTGACTCAGTGGCAGCGAACAACAGTAACACAGCAGATCTGCTTTCTGCACTTCGTTCGCATGAGATCCCTCTACAGCCATGCAATAATCCTCTTTTTAACTTGAGCTGGTTTCACTGTGCTTCTATTCTTTGCCACCGGTCATCCCTGACTGGACACAAAGGTAACTTGCTCAAGGTCCCAGAGCTAATGAACAGCATGTGAAGGAGTTTGAACTCTTCCTGAGGTTAATAAGAAATCATCACAAGGCATATCAAATTTCATTCATTGCCAACCATGTGCACTGTTCTAAGCATCTCACATGTTTTAGGTATTAACTATTAAGCTAAAAAAATCATTATTCATACATCAGCTAAAATCGCCCTTCACAGTAGTAGTACAACATACACTACATATTTGAAAAATCTACCCATTCATACTCCTTTCCTCTCTCTTCTTTTGAAAATGAGGAATTTAAAAATATATCAGCACAAAATATCTAGGTTTTTTCACCCATAAACAAATACATACAATAACATACCCACAAATAAACAAATAAAAATACTACCCATTCCAAGCATTTCCTAATACAATTAGTGAAATCTATGTCATCAGGTTGAACATGCTTAGCTGTTTACTAAGCCATGGTCCATTTGGACAAGAGCGAAATGAACTGATGTAAATTGGAGTTGTGCTAGAGTTTCTGAAATAGTACTAAACTCCTAATCTTGAGGCCAGAGAAAATTATGTAAAGCATAGTTTAGATCTTAATCAATTTCTCTAAGACTCTGGAAGGCAAAACCATGGAAACTAGAGCACACACTAGCATTGTTCCTTGGGTTTGTCAAAACGTCTTTTCCATATGCCTCACAGCAAACTCTATTGACCCAAGCCTGTCTTTTCAGGCAACAAACAAATGCAAAACAGCATCTCATTTAGATCTGGGCCTCAGCAGACAAGTTTTAATTAGCTAGACTTGCTCACAAAGGGCTGAAAGAATACATGCGATACACATCTGAAAACTTGCAAATATACATCATTCTTTATTTTTAAAATGCATGACATACTCCCTCTCTCTCTACACACACACACACACACATACACACACACAGAAACCAGGATATTTTTTTAGAATAGGTTCAGCACTGTGGCATCAAACAGATGAGTTAGAAAAATCTCCATGGTGCTATTCTCCTGTAGAAGAATAATCTCTTTGCTGGGAAAAAAAAAAAAAAAGAACCTATAGACCAACTAAAGACTTCTTTTTCATGGATTTAAATCACATTTTCCCAAACCAGTAGTTGGCAGGAGTTTGTTCCAGGGGATGCTAATAGATGCAGCCTTGAAAGAAAGTCTTCTGTGATCAGGTAAGTCCTGGAAATAACTGAATGCCACACCTTCCTCTTGGAGAGCCATAGGACACCACCCAGTAAAGGCTCTGGATAGGGCCAACGGAAGACACTCACTTAATCTGAATGACCCAGCACTCCCCATTTCATGTAGCACCATTTTCATAGCACAGCCTACAGAACAGTGGTTTGCGAATTGTTCTAAATATTTCTCCAAATATGGGTGAGGTCCAGAGAATTATTAAAGTTGTCTCTCCGCAAGTTGAAGGGCAATGTACCAAACGTGAGTGATCAACATGGTGGCATTGAGGAAGAGGAAGACATGGAGAGGTGCATGGGAGGCACAGACAACAAAGATGAACCCTTTTACACATACAGTACCGTGTTGTCAATGAAGGCATACTTGGATATATGGGTGGATAGATGGGTGAACAGGCTGAACTAGTAGGTATGTCTATGCAGGGGGAAGTGTGCCCAAGACCACGTATAGGGTTGGCAGACAATGTTTCTACAAGTGTATTGCTATGTTCTTTAAGAATTCCCAGGTATATAGTGGACCTGACAAGGGATAAGATTGTAGTCAGTTCTTGGCCATAGCCAGCTACCCAGAGGGAGCAAGGAGTTGGACCTGTGGTCTCAGGACTATACTCACAGGGTACATCAAGCTCAATTGGTATAACATACTACACAAAACATTGTTCCACATCTTACTCTGGTGAGTAGCAACTAGGATCTTAAAAGATTGCAAGCGGCCATGTAGGTACAATGATGGGTGTCTCCTCATCCAGAGCAAAGAAGAATGAAGAAAACCAAAGGTTCATGGAAACAATTAGTCCAAGAACTGGTAACCCATGCAATTCTCAGCCTATGTGACTATGAGACCAGAAGAACTAGATGGTGCCCAGGTACCACTGTCAACCACTCGGAGGGGGATTTATGTAGGAGATCCTGGATAGAGTGGGAGAACCATGTGGAACAAAACTCAAAATCATTTGGGGGAAAAAAAAAACGGGGGGGAACCAGGTTTGCTGTCTGACAGAGCCTGATGGAACCACTGAGACTATGGCCCCTAGCTGCCATTCAGGTCTGGAACTGAACCCACTCCTGTGGCTTCCAGCCAAACAAAAGACAGGCATATGAGGTGAACATTTACACTAGGTAGAATATACTCCTTGGAGAGACCAATCATGGGAGAGTAGAAGGGCTGTGTATGCACAGGAAGACAACTCAGGGGACAGGAGTGCATGGAGGGAAGGACACAGGGAAGAGGTAACTATGGGGAGGAAGTGGGAAGGGAGTTGTTGCATTGTGGGAAATTGTAAACAATGTCATGAGACAAAGTGTATGTGAACTGCTGTATGGAAAGTGAATTTGCTCTGTAATGTTTCACCCAAATCACAATTTAAAAAAAAAAAAAAAAAAAAAACCACTAAAGTTATCTCTCTGCAAATGGATTGATTTCCACATGAGTCATTCCATTGTGAATATGTGCAATTGAATAAAACATGCTTATTGAGTATACAGTGGACATGCCTTTCAGTTTGGTTTTTCTCCCATACCCTCAGTAGGTGTCTAGGCTTACCATGAGAGAGGAGTCCTTGGGTGGTGCAAATGGTTAACAAACTCGGGTTGGAGTCCATTCAGAAGCACCTCCGAAGAAAGTCCTGCTATCTACTTCCATAACATTAGCCATTGAAACCCTACGGAGCACAGTTCTACCCTGACACACCTGGCTCGCTGTGAGTCAGAATTGGCTAGATGGAAACTGGGCTTCTGATGTCATTTAAGAAACAAACTAGATTTTATCTTTCCAGTGATTCATACTATTTAAGCGATAACAGAAATATACCTGCTTATGACCACAACAGCCTCTGCACTGGGCCTCCTGCCTCCACTCTTATCTAACTTCAATCTGGACTCTTCCTATTGGGCAGTGGGTGTTCTGGAACACAGATCACCTGTCTGTTTAAAGCCCGTGCCTGACTCCCTACATGACTCCCCAGGCCTGTTACGATCTGGTACTTGTTTACCTTGCTACCTCAGTGTCCTGATGGTTGCCCCAAATAGAGGATGAGCTTGGGTGGGTAAACTTGGAACCCCTTCCTACCAAGGGTTGTCAACCTGAAGTCTATGGATGGAATCCTGGGGATCTGTGAACCTGGGTGGGAAAAAACTGACATCTTTATTTTCATTATTTCACCAACTGTTAACTGCAATTTAGCATTTTCTTCAATCGTGAATGTAGGCAGCAAACACACAAGTATTATCAGTACCTGTAATTCTGTCACCAAGAGGAATAATAAATATGTTCATATCATATTACAGTTGTCAATGTTTCAAATTATCATTTATAGTTTAAACTTTAAAATTACAGTAAATTTTAGACCCATTGCTGGATTTTGTCATCTAATGTGTTACAGAAGATGCTCATATGTTTCTATTTTATGAATTTGATTTTTAAATATTTTTATATCTGTGTTTTAATACGGCTTCCTTTATAATCATATATGTTTTACTTTATGAGTTTTAAAGATTATTTTGACAAAAGGTTCAGGCCCTATGCCAGGTTGCCAAAGAGGTCCATGACAAGAAAAGGTAAAATTCAGTCCCTAAAACATACCATTCACTCTCCCCCTGCTCCCTCTCCCTCTCTTTCTATTTCTCTCTCTCTTCTCCAGACCTTCATACTTGATATTCCTTCTTTTTCAAACACTTTTCCTTCCACTCCACCAAAATCTTTGTCTGGCAGATTCCTCCTCATCTTTCATGTCCAGTCATCAATTTATTTAGGATATCTTTCACAATAAAAGTCTGGACAAGGCCTCCTTTCTTAGACCCCAACCATCCTGTGCACCTACAACCCAAATTATGATTTCTTATGTAAGATCTCCATCAGGACAAAGGCTGTCTCTGTATTGCTCACCATTCTATGCCCATCACCTTGCACAGTGTCTGACACATGGTAGTCACTCTATATTTTTGTCACATCAGTGAATGAATTATAGTGTTTTATTTCACTATGCAAAGAATGTATTTACCCAACTGTGGTCAAAATCCCACCATAGACTGATACCAACCTGAATTTCTGGTTTTCCATCAACATACACAGTGCTGTTGTTGACCATTTCCACGATGGCAACTCCAAGATTGCAACGAATACCAAAGGAGATGCAGAAACCCAGCCCACTCATGATGGCGATGATGTAACGCTTGGGGATGCCACAACAGTGGCAGTCACAGAGTGGGGGGCTTGGCCTGGATGGCTGCACTGGCCTTCCTTCTTCATTCAGTTCAATATTATCTTCTTCTTCATTGGTCCCATCGATTCTTCTACACGAGAGAAAGAATGAACAGAGAAGAAAGACTAAAAGTAGGCATGCACACCCCCCCAAAAAAAATGTACAAAGAAGGAAAAGGAAAACCCAAAATAGGATGCTGCCTGTATTTTTTAAAGTAATTATTATCATTTTAATAAATCATAATGGCTAAAATCTTTTATTTTAGGATATTGTGCTGCCCTTTTGTAGGCATTAATATGTAAATCCTATTACAACCCCATGAGGTTATTATCATGCCCATTTTATAGCTGGGGAATGAAAACATAGTCATTTGAGGCAGATTCAAGTCCAGAGTCTATGTTCTTAACAATATAATGTACCGAGCTTCCTGCTGAAAATGTATTGATTGACTTCATCTTCAATGCATGACACACCTACCTCCTATGCTTGACTTTAATTTTCATGTCATTTGATGCTTACTGAAAATATATACAATAAAAAAAAATTAACCCATTGGAAGATTCTTCTCTCTCTCTCTCTAAGTCCCATTAAAATGCTAAGTAGAGGTGGTGGTGTTAACAGTTGTCCAACTGGCACTTATTCATAGACACTTTATATATAATAGAACGAAACAGTGCCTGGTCTTGAACCATCTTCTCATCTTCCAGCACTACATCAACAATGTTCTGCTGCTATCTATAAGGTTTTCATTGGCTAATTTTTGGAAGTAGATCACCAGGCCTTTCTTCCTAGTCTGTCTGAGACTGGAAGTTCTGCTGAAACCTGTCCACCATGGGTGACCCAATGATGTTTGAAATACTGGTAGTTTAGCTTTCAGCATCATGTTGTTATGTGCCATCGAGTCAGCCCTGACTCATAGCGACCCCTCCTTGGGTTTCCGAGGCAGTATCACTACGGAAGTAGGATTGCCCAACCTTCCTTCCGAGGAGTGGCTGATGGGTTTGAACCGCCAACCATCTGGTGAGCAGTCAAGTGCATTAGCCCCTATGCTACCAGAGCTCCCATAGCAACACACAAATCGCCACAGTGCAACAAACTGACAAACAGGTGGAGGTAGAGGGGTAGATCTTCTAGCACAACATGTATCAAATTGGGTATGGATCTTTTTTCTGAGGAGTTGGTTCCCTGGTTCCTTTTATCCAGATGATAAGATGAAATGATAATATTATGTCCATTAGAGTGGATTTACCCTCTTTAAAAAAAAAAAAAAAAAAAAGGAATTAGGCAAAATGAACCCTATCTGTTCATTCATCCTGTCACATATTATAACCCTTCGAAAGGCAGTGCCATGGGCCAAATATGGTCCAAGTCTTGTAAAAATAAGCAAAGCTTACAAATTTTCATGAATATTAAATTCAGCAATTATAGCTAATACAGTAGAATAGTTATATTTAAACAAATTATTTGCCAATCAACATAATTTTGGCTGCTTTTTATACCTAAAGTAAGATCAGGTTTAAAGCAAATGTACAGAGTCCTCACAACTGGACCAACAAGTAACATCATGACAAATGGAGAAAAGATTAATGTTGTCAAGGATTTCATTTTACTTGGATCCATAATTAATGCCCATGGAAAGAAGACTCAAGAAATCAAATGATTTTGTTATGTTTGGGGGTGGTGATAAGGGCATGAAATCAAGTGAACATGAACTGTTGAATGTAAAACAAATTTTATTCTGTAAATTTGCACCCAAATCACAATAAAATTTAAAACAGAAATCAAACAATGTATTGCATTGGGCAAACATGTTGTAAAAGACCTCTTAAAGTGTTAAAGAGCAAAGAGGTCACTTAGAAGACTAAAGTGTGCCTGACCCAAGCCATGATATTTTCAATAGGCTCATATGCATGTGAGAGCTGGACAATGAATAAGGAAGACCACAGAAGAACTGATGGATTTGAGTTGCAGTGTTGGCAAAGAATATTGAATGTACCATGGACTGCTAGAAGAATGAACAGATCTGTCTTGGAGGAAGTACAACCTGAACACACCTTAGAAGTAAGACTGACCAGACTTTGTCTACAGTACTCTAGTCATGTTGTCAAAAGGAAGCAATTCCTGGTGAAGGATACCATGGAAAGTAGAAAGTCAAGGAAAAAGGGGAAGACCCTCAATGAGATGGATTGACACAGTGGCTGTGACAAAGGGCTCAAGCATGACAACAATTGTGAGGATGAAGCAGGACTGGACAGCATTTTGTTCTGTTGTACATAGGGTCACTATGAATCGGAACTGACTCAACGGCACCTGACAACAGCAACAACCTAAAGAAATAAATATACCAGATCCAATTCAGTACATTAGATATTTAATGAGTATCTACTCTGTGTGTCAGGCACTGTACTACATACTATAGAACAAAAAAGAATGAGACATGCTCTCAGCCCTCTTCCAACTCTTAGTTTTAATGGAAAAAGAGAGACAGAAGAATCTCCAGTGGATTAATACAAGCTGCTATAATTACTGGACAATGCATGCTTTGTTGAAATAAAAGTGAAGAGCAGTGGTAAAAGCAAAGGAAGGAACTTTGATTTCAACTGGTAAGCTTAGATTAGAAGCTAAATAATACAAGAACAGTGAGCTGATCGGAAGAGAACTTCAACAATCTACCACCATTGCCTATCTACATTTATGCAGATATATTCTGCCTTCTCTTCTCTTCTACTTATCTTCTTCTAGAAGCATAGATGTAAGCTATTATTATAATGTAATTGTATAGGGAAACCTCTTTATCAGGGGACTAGATCCTAGCTCCACTCAGCCACTCATGTATATTATGCCAGAAACTACCTCATCCCTACCATACTTCAACGTCAATTATTTTCTCCTCTACTAGGTCATTTCTATTATTCTACAAATATGCTCTTATTTCTCCACTATTAAAATAAAATTTGAAACACTTTCTCCTCCAGCTATTCTCCTCTCGTTCCTCATCTTCCATTTTTAGAAAAACTCCTTGACAGGGTTGTCTGAAGTCACTGTCTTCAATTCCTCTCCTCCCACTCTCTCTTGGCCCCACTTCAATCAGGTGTTCTCTCAGCTGTCCACCAAAACTAGTCTTAAGGTTGTCGATGCCCTCGACATGGCTAAATACAAAGGTCATTTTCAGTCCTCATCTAATTGACCTATCATCAGTTCTTACTTGACCACTTAATTTTCTTCCAGGGAACCACTCTCACTTTATTTTCTTCCTAATTCTCCAGCTACTTCTTATGTTTTCGGTTCTTTTGCGGATTCCTTCTTTCCTCAATATGCAAACCCAGAGTGCTCAAGGACTTAGATCTTGGACCTCTTATGTTTTCTAGCTACACTTTATAGGCAATCTCATCCAGTCTCTGAGCTTTAAGTGCATATATATACTGATAGTTCCCAAATTTCATATCCAAACTTATTTGACATATCCTGAGACATATAACAGGTGTCTTGAACTTAATACATCCAACTGAGTTGTCCCAAATAGGATAAATTCCTAAAGTCTTTCTTGTCTCAAATAATGACAGTTCTGTTCCTATAGTTGCTCAGGTAAAAAACTTGAAGTCATTATATGTGTCTTATTTCTTCTCTGAACAACTTCCAATTCAAAAGTCATTGTGCCTCGTTTGAATGTTGACTCTTTCACTTACTTGTTCCACTTACTTACCTGTATGATTCGGGCTTACTTTACTAGTGGCATAGTGCCTAAGGCACTTGACTGCTAACCAGAAGGCTGGCGGTTCAAACCCACCAGCCACTCCTCGGAAGAAATGTTGGACAATCTACTCCTGTAGTGATATCACCTTGGAAACCCAAGGAGGGCTTGCTATGAGTTGGGATTGACTCAATGGCAGTGAGTTTTGGTTGGTTTGGTTTTTCACCTCCTTGGCCTTCAGTTTCTTCACTTATAAACTGAGAATTATAGTAATATTTTTTTCTTCATGAGGTTATGAGGATTATTATGAATGAAGTATTATATCTAGACCATTTAGAACAGAACTTGAAATATAGCAAAAATGCAACATATTCCAGCTATTCTGATTATATTAATCCTCACAATAACTCCATGAATCCCTTCTGCTATCCTGAGCCTTGGTGTTGTGAGTTCTGAGAGTCATTTAGAGAGACAACTATTTATTCTGTGTAGCCTCCATGGTCTCCATAAATTTCTGGCATCTAGTTGTATGTAATTTGATTAACATAGAAAACTGATGCCCTAATACAGACACGGGAGCTCTGGTGGCATAGTGCCTAAGGCATTTGACTGCTAACCAGAAGGCTGGTGGTTCAAATATGCCAGCCACTCCTTGGAAGGAAATTTGGGCAATCTACTTCCATAGTGATACCACCTCAAAACCCAAGGAGGAGTCACTATGAGTAGGATCCGACTTGATAGCAATGAGTTTGGGTTTGTTTGCTTTTATAAAATATAGACACATTATTATAATAAACAGTTATCATCAAAGCAACTGTGACTCATGATGACCCCATGTGTGTCAGAGCAGAACTATGCTGTATAACATTTGCAATGACTGATTTTTTTTTTCAGTAGTAGATTATCAGACATCTCTTCCAAGGTAACTCTGGGAACACTCTAACTTCCGATCTTCAAGTGAACAGCCAAACGTATTAACCATTTGCACCACCCAGAGACTCCATTATTATAGCTCTGGTAGCATAGTGCCTAAGGCACTTGACTGCTAACCAGAAGGCTGGCAGTTCAAACCCACCAGCCACTCTTTGGAAGGAAGGTTGGGCAATCTACTTCCGTAGTGATACTGCCTCAGAAACCCAAGGAGGGATCTCTATGAGTCAGGTCTGACTCCACAGTACATAACAACAACAACAAACAGTATTAACAAGAGTAGAGATAGTATATAATAACTACACCAATATTTGTATTATACTTTCATATAATTATCCTGTTTGATCATCAGGTCAGCTCAGTAGATGTACTGTTATTATTGTGTGCCACTGAGTTGAGTCCAATTCATAGTGACCTCATGTAAGAGAGTAGAACTCTCTCATAGGTTTCCAAGGCTGTAGTCTTCATGG